TCAACACCAGGGGGAATTTCCAAGTAAACTTCTTCATCTAAATCACCATGAAGAAAGGCATTGGACACATCCATCTGATGAATGTGCCAATCCTTAGCTGCTGCTACTGCCAGCAGTGTCTTAACAGAATTGATCTTGGCTACTGGGGAATAGGTATCCAAAAAGTCTATCCCATAGATTTGGGTATATCCTTTGGCTACCAAACGAGCCTTGAATCTTTCAATTGCCCCATCAGACCTGTACTTCACCTTAAATACCCATTTAGCACCTATAGGCCTCTTTCCTGCAGGCAACTTAACCACCTCCCAGGTCTGATTCTCATACAAAGCAAAGATTTCTTCCTTGCAAGCCTGTTCCCAACGCGGATCCTTACATGCTTCTGCATAGGAAGTTGGTTCTTCTATAGAAAGCACACTAAGAGCAAAAGCTCTTTGAGAAGCAGTAAGATGATCATAAGAGACTTGATGAGAAATGTGGTGTTTGTCACTTGTAGCAATCAAACTCACATGATAATCCTTATGCCATATGGGAACAGTACGTTGCCTAGTGGATTTCTTAGTAGTTGCAACTTCAACAGTATCACTGGTCTCAGGAAAGACTTCAATCTCCATATCCTCCCCCTCAGACTGCAAGCTGACAGGTGATACACTAATGGAAGGCTCAGGCAGTGGAGAGGTAACAGGAAAAGAAGAGGTTGATGAGGGAGTGGGAGTGGAGCAAGAAGCCTGGTCAGCAGTGGAATGAAGAGAAGGAAAGTTATGCTGAACAACAGGAGGTATTGGAATAAGATTAGGTGTGATGGGATCAGGAAGAGAAGGAGGATTAGAGAGGTCTGGTTGGACAGTTGAGTGTGAAGGAAGACTGTGGTTGGTGATTAAATCAGATGAGAAAGTAGAAGAAATAGATGCAGTTTGAAAAGGTAAAATGGTTTCATAGAAAACCACATCTCTGGATACAAAGAATGAGTGAGAGTTGATGTCATAAAGTTTGTAACCCTTGATTCCAGTAGGGAAACCAAGGAATATGCACTGCCTGGCCCTGGGATCAAACTTGGTCCTGTCTCTATGGAGTGTAGAAGCATAGCATAGAGATCCAAACACCTTCAGATTAGTAAGAGTAGGGGGCTTCTTGTAAAGAAGCTCATAAGGGGACTTATTATCAAGAACTGTACTAGGCAATCTATTGATGAGATATACAGCATGAAGCACACAATCACTCCAAAACCTGAGTGGAATACCAGATTGAAAACGAAGAGCTCTTGCAACATTCAGAATGTGCTGATGCTTCCTCTCAACCCTGGCATTCTGTTCAGGAGTCTCAACACATGACTGCTGATGTATAATGCCATTATCAGTGTAAAAATCTGCTAAGTGAAACTCAGAACCTTGATCACTCCTGACAATCTTAACAGACTTGGAAAACTGCTTGGCAACCATTGTGCAAAAGCTTTGTAATAAATAGCTAGCTTCAGACTTGAATTTCATCAAAAACACCCATACTGCTCTTGAAAAATCATCCACAATTGTCAAAAAGTAAGCAAAACCTTCATGGGACTTAACTGCCAAAGGGCCCCAAATGTCTACATGAACCAAATCAAAAGCATCAAGTGCTCTACTGTTGCTAACAGGAAAAGGAAGTCGTTTATGTTTAGCAAAGTGACATGTAGAACAATGGGAAACTACATCTCTATCACTAGCTAACAACTGCTTCTCTTTGTCTTTGCTGGGATGCCCTAGTCTCCAGTGCCAAAGCTGAATGTTTTGAGGTAGGAAGTTGTAAGAGGAGGCTGCTTGTGGTGTGGGAAGAAGGGGAGCTTTGGACTTTGAGTGGAGTTGGTACAATCCATTACTCTGTCTTGCCAAACCAGTCCTTTTCAGGGTCACCAGGTCCTGAATTTGACAAGAATCAGATTCAAAATGTAAGGATATTGGTTGATCATGTGTTAATTTGCTCACTGAGATAAGGTTAAAGGTGAAACTGGGCACCAGGAGAACATTATCTAGGGACAAATCTGGGGACAGCTTAACCTTTCCTACATGACTAACCATAACTTGACTTCCATTTGGCAGGTAAACAAACTGATCTGTTACTGGAACAGACTCAGAGAACAATCCAAGATGACAGGCAATATGATCTGAAGCCCCAGTATCAAGTATCCAGGAATGAGAAAGAGAATCTGTCTTATGCTGCATAGAGGAAGACAGGATGAACTTACCAGCATATGAAGGGAATTGAGACACATTATGAGCCACTGAGAAGGCCAGGTGATTAACAGATGGAGATGCTGGAGGTGATGGGCTAGGAGATGGAACTGACTGCAATAAGAACCTGAGCTTGTTCATTTCCTCAGTAGAGAAACTGAAGCTCTCCTTAGATGTAACACTTCGTGATTCACAACTCATTTTGGAATCTGAGCTTGTGGAATCACTTTCAACAGAAGAGTCTCCATGAGTAACAGCTGCAGCCACTCCCCCAGCCATTCTGAGCTTCTTGTTTTTCAATTTATAGCACTCCTCCTTTGTATGTCCATCCTTTTTGCAATATCTGCAAAATTTCTTGCCATCTTGTGACTCTCCTTGTACTGCTAATGCAACAGTTTGCACTCCCCTAGTGACTGCCCTGTCTGCCTTCAGTTTTTGTTCATGCTGCAAGACATCATTGATAGCAACATCGACAGTAGGTAATGGTTTCATCATGAGAATCTGAGTGTGCACAACATCAAATTCAGATCTAAGCCCCTTCAGGAAACGAATTAGGTAATTGACATCTTGCTGCTGCTTAAAAGCCTCAACAGCTGCACAGGGCTGAGTTCTCTGGGGTGCACAGTTGCAATCAACAATTGGACTGTATTGGAGGTGTTCCTCCCACAATCCCTTCAAGGCTGTGTAATACTGAGTCACATTCTGGGTTCCCTGTTTGCAAGCAATGATCTGATCTTGCATATTAGATAACTTAATTGCATTTGTGAACCCAAAACGAGCTCGAAGTTCTTCCCAAAGTGTACGAGCTACCTCATGCTGCATAACACTTCTCCTGATTTCCTTCTCAACAGAATTTAAGATCCAACACAGAACCAAAGTGTTACAAGCATCCCAGGTGCTATAATTTGCATCTCCCACAGGAGGGATTGCAATTGAACCATCAATGAAGCCAATCTTATGCTTGGTCTTCAAGGCCATCCGAATGGCTCTTTGCCACATTTGATAATTAGCACCATCAAGAACTTCAGAAACGATTGCTTGAGAGATGTTTTCGTTTGGGTTAATGTAAAAGGGATTACCAAACTGCAGATCTACTCGATCGTTGTGGTTGTTGGTGCCACTGTTGTTGCTCGTCGTTCCAGAATTTGCTCCAGGGAAAGACCCAAAAGGAATGCCTCCAGGTGTATTAGGTGGCGTCGAAGCCATTGAAGGGTTACTGGATCAGTAACCGCTCTGATACCATATGAGAAACCTAGCTGGTGCTAGGGTTTAGCGGAAGAAGAAGAAGAAGAATGCGGCACAGATTGGGGAAACGCGCAAGAGAGCAAGGGATCTCTCTGCAGCTCCTTTTATATATACTGGAAATGTGTTCATGAAGATACAAAACAGTAAAAACGGAAATGGAAAAACAGAAATTCAAAGTTACAGTAATAGTAAAGCGCCAGGTGGCGATCTCTCATTCGCTCAGTAAAACCCACTCAACGGTTAACTCCGAGTCTCCACAACGTCGTCGCTTTGGCTCTTCGTTTAATGTTGAGTGGAGGGAACCCAGAAACGTTTCCGTTTCTGGGTAGCGTTTCGTTCTTCAAGTCTTCAGAATCCTCTGCACCTTCACTGTTGCAGAGCATCGTCTTCTTCATCACCTTCGGTTGATAGTAAACACACCTCAGTGACTTGAATTCAGGGTGTTGAATGGATCGGTTACCATGGCGATTTAAATGTTCACTCAACCCAATAAATCGTGTCACCTTTATCAATTTCTTATGTTGCTGGCTGATGTATAAGCTCACGGTATTTGACTATCTTCACAACATACTCAGACGTGTTCTCAATACTTCGTAATCACGTCGTGGTTGGCTGCTAGTGATCCGGCATATGCACAAAGCCAAATAAAAGGCGACAGATATATATAGGCGGTTACTTCGGCGCACTCACTTTTTTGGGTGCACTGACTTTAAATGTGTTCATAATACATCAAATTTTGAACTTTAATTAGTACTCTCAATCTAATATGATGATATGACACAGAATCATAACAAATCAATCTATTATCCTAACCCCTTAACCTTCAATTTTGAATCTCAACCCAAAATCTCAAATTGTAAACCTAAACCCTAACCATAAATTCCTAAATCCTTTAAATTAAAGTAAATTTTGAATGATTTTTTTTTATCAAATTCATGTGCTTCTTGTTCCTAATATCATAATCAAAAATTGATACCGTTTTGACATGAATCGCATGCTCATAATGACAATTATGAGGCGGGTGCACTGAGTACACAAAAAAAAGTAGGTGCACCGAATACGCCACTATATAAATATATATATATGGTGAGTTCTACAGTACCGTGGGTGAAATCCAGGGTACCACATACCTTGAGTAAGAAAACGCTATCCAGAACTTGAATTGATTGATCTTTTGGCCATGATACTATACTCTAACCCTTAAAGATCAAAACATAAGTCTTAATTCTCCAAATCTGATACCCCAAGATCATTTAATTAGAAACAATAAGCGATGGTTATGATTCGTCCAAATATAGGCAAAAATATCAATGCACCATCTTAGGGTTTATAGTTTATGATTTAGATAATTAGAACCTAGGGTTCACTCATTAAGGGTTAGGGTATAGTATCATGCACAAAAATTCTACTAATTCAAAGTCTAGATAGCGTTTTCATACTCAAGATATGCGGTACCCCGGATTTCACCCGAGGTACCATAGGGTTAAAGCACCATATATGGACTATCATTCTCCTTTTTTTTTATTGTAAATGCATGAAATGACTCTTGGCTCTGAAACAAACATGGAAGACGTCATAACGAACTCTGGCTGGGAACAAGAAGCAGAGGTCGTTCCTTCTCCAACGTGGTCCCAAACTTCTCACTCATATCCAACTCCGTCTCATCCTCTCCATCGGAAAGGCACCAATCGAAGCTCCGAACCAAAGCAGTCAAAACCAAAGGAATTTGTCGGGTGGCTAATGACACTCCGGGACACATCCTCCTCCCAGCGCTGAATGGAAGCAACTTAAAATCTTGTCCTCTGAAATCCACCTGCGATCCAATGAACCTCTCCGGCTTAAACGACATCGGGTCCTCCCATACCGTCGGATCCCTAGAAATAGCCCACACGTTGACCAAAACCTGAGCCCCTTTAGGGACCACATAGTTCATCACCTCGCAAGTCTCTTGCGCTCGATGCGGCAGCAACAGTGGCGCCGGAGGGTGTAGCCTCAGCGTCTCCTTTACAATTGCGCTCAAATACGGAAGTCGAGATACTTCAGATTCGTCGATTAGTGGTTTTCCCTCGAGCGATTGTGACAATTCTGCCTTGAGCTCCTCCCGCAGCTTGTCCATCGCTCGCCTGTTTCGCATTAGCTCTGCCATCGCCCATTCTATTGTCGCCACGCTAGTATCCGTACCAGCGGAGAACAATTCCTGAAAGAAAATCAGAGAAAAAACTAAGTTCCAAATTGTAGTTGTAATCCTTCTCACAATAGGAAGAAAAGTAGCAGCATTCTCAATTAGCTCATTTGCAAAGCTAAGCTAAAGAAAATAGAATTGAATTTTTTTTCTTTCTTTTGAACTTACGAGAGTCAACCAGTCAATCTGGTCATCATCAAGTCCATTTTCTAGGAAAACATCCAAAAAATCTTCAACACCAAATCGCTCTCGCCCTCGCTCCCTCCTCTCTGTGACATAAGGCTGCCAAACAGAGTAGAGCTCATTGCAACAACGAAACATCTCGCGTCTCAGCCCCTGAGGATCCAATTTCCTCAGAACTGGAAAAAATTCGGCGAGATTAGTTTTAGTCCCCAGTTCCATCATCCTCCAAATCAGCGACTTCAATCGTTTCGCAGTCTCGCTGTTACTTTCGAACCCGATGCAATCTCGCGAGAACATGAGATTGGACAGCGAGTCGAAGATGGTAGCGAAAACCACTTCGCCGATACGAACCGGCTCCCCTAATTTTCCATCAAGATATTCCACCATCTGGGCGACCTTCCTCTCCCTGACGGAGGCCTGAGATTCGATCGCCCTCGCGGAGAATATTTGGTTCCTGAACATTGATCGGAAGGCCTTCCACCGCTCGTTGTTGCAGTTGGAAGACCAAACGATCGCCTTACGGTCGAGCTCCGCGATGTCGTAAGGCACGATGGTGGTGACGTATCTGGCGGAGAGGAGGCGGTCGTGGGTTCTCAAGATTTCTGCGGCGGCGGCTGGGGAGGAGGCGACGATGAGGAGCTGGGAGCCGAGGCGGAGGGAGATGAGAGGGCCGTGGAGCTGGGAGAAGCGTTGGAGGGAGACGTGAATTTGCTTGCCGAGGTGAGGGATGTTGCCTATAATCGGCCATGGCTTTGGGCCTGGCGGCAGCCGGTGTTTGGAAGCTGCAGCGGTGGAGAGGAATCGGGAAGCGGTGATAACGATAAGGATGGTGATGGCGAAGGTGAGGAGAAGAAGATAGAGTGCCATTTTTTTTGTTGTTGTCCGGAGGTTTGATTTTGATAAGTTGATATGGGTTGTTATTAGACTAGAGATAGTATTTTGCTGGGCATTTTATTTATAGAGCCATCGGTTCAGTCACTTCGTGGCAACTTACAACCAAAACGAAAATAGTATTTTGTAATAAAAGAAAAACTCTATCCGAGTATGGCGAACTCCTGGAATTGCTCTGCAAGTTCAGTGGCAATAGTATGATGTACAGGTTTATAAGGAAACTAATAAGTTAACAGTATATGTAGTGAAGGAAAATAATTGGGAGACGCTCTCCCCAAGCAAGTGGGTGACGAAAGGGAACCAAATCGAATGAACTATTTCAGTTGTTGTGCTCTTCCATGTTAATTAAAGGTACCAATTAATGTTCGTCTTAGGGAACTTATATATATATATATATGTTCGTATGATATGTACAAAACAATTGATGATATCAGAAAATCTAAAATTTGAGAGGAGAATCCTTTTCGTTTATTGGTTAGTATAACGATGACAATACCATGTTAAGAAACTCCATGTTCTTTACTCTTTATGCTTAATAAATTGACATTTTAAAATTGCATACTTTGATTTTTTTTTACGTATGTGATATGAAAAATTGAAGTGGGTATTTGATAAAAGTTTGACATCAAGCCGCACGCGTACACTTTTGTTAACTTATTTTTGTCAATCAGCCGCCTAGCAGAGTTATACGTGGGATTACGAATAACTAATCATGTTTTGAACTTGTAAAGTTTTAATAAAAGCTAAAAGACAAAATATATTCAATCACACAATTCAGATAATCACCAACACGGTAAGCAAAGAAAAAAACGATGACCACCAATAGTTTGGTACACGCAAAACTACTCAGAGCAAACAAAAACTAGAGGGGAAAAAACTTTGCCATCGTGTAGGCTTTCCCTCCTAAAAGAAGAGTCTTACCGTGCAACAACAAATTAAGAACTAAGGCACGAAAATGGAATCTTATAAATTAACTATTAATATTAGCAGTCAATAGGTAAAACGATTTGAATACAATATCTTTAAGTCATCAATCATAACAGACAACTAATATGTATATCACCCAAAGATTAAAACGCTTTCTACCAAAAGACCTTTCAATTCAAGTATCTGGCTGCAACTCGATCCAATCGTTACTTGACTTGAAGGGTGGAATGGATCGGGACACCATGACGATTTAAATGTTCACTCAACACAATGGATCGGGTCACCTTGACCAATTTCTTCTGTTGCTGGCTGATGTACTCATTCATAAACACAACAAATAAGCCAACGGTATTTGACCCACATGAGCTCACAACATATATACACAGATGAGTTCTTAATATACTTCATAATCAGGTCACTGTTGGCTGCTATATTTTTGTTTAATGTACTCCACAAAATCTGAGAAATTGTGGCCCTCTCACGCACACTGCTGCCTGCTAGTGATTCAGCATATATATATGAACATCCAAAAAAATATAGCCGCCGCCACGTGAAAGGTGATGACTGATGACGAGATAACCTTATAAGAAAAAAAAAAAAAGGTGACGAGATATATTAAATTGCTATGCTGGTTGATGGTAATATAAATACGAATGAGCCATCGTCGACCAAACAAATTAACCAAAAACCCACCAAGTTAGAAGACGAAGAGAGAAAAATATAGAGAGAAGTGATTCGATGGGTGAGAAAGTGGTAGAGGTTGGAGAGCTGATGATGGCGAGTGACTATTATTTCCTCATCCCAATTAGTGTGGCAATCATCATCACCATTGTTTCCGTGATTATACGGAAAAGGACTTTAGCGTCCTCGAAAGCTGCCGGCGGTGAGAGGACTCCACCAGGGCCATGGAAGCTGCCGATCATCGGGAACCTCCACCAGCTGGCAATCGGCTCGTCCCTCCCACATCGCCGGCTAGCGGAGCTGGCCCAACAGTACGGGCCTCTGATGCAACTACAGCTCGGTGAAATCCCCACGGTGATCGTGTCGTCCGCAGAATGGGCCAAAGAGTTCATGCAGGCCCACGATCTCAACTTCGCCAGCAGGCCCTTCATCCCAGCTGCCAACATCATCTTCTACGGCGGCCGAGACATCGGATTTTCCCCTCACGGACCCTACTGGACAAAGATGAGGAAGATTGTGGCCATGGAGCTTCTAGGCGCCAGGCGTACCAAGTTGTTGCGGCCCATCATGGAGCAGGAGATGGCGAAGCTCGTGGGCCTGATCAACACGAAGCCCACCATCAACCTCACCGAAATGATGCTCTCCTTCGGAAACTCCATCACGTGCCGTGCCGCCTTTGGCAAGATCCAAAAGCAAGAGGAAGTTTTCTTGCCGTTTATCAAACAGTTCATGAAGATGCTGGGAGGGTTCAGCCTTGTCGACCTCTTCCCTTCAAGTAACTTGCTGCGCCTACTCGTTGCAAACGCAGCCGAGAGAAAGCTGAAGAAGGTTCACTCGGCGGCCGATGCTATCATGGAAACTATAATCAACGACCGTTTAGCTAAGAGATCATCAACAGTGGCAGCTGGTGGAAACGACGATGAAGATCTTCTTGGTGTTCTTCTCAATCTTAAAGACACTGACGACTTGGGCTTCACTGAGATTAAAGCTGTCATCCTCGTAAGTCACTTGTTAATTCGATTAATTGTGTATTGATGGATCTCATGACGATGACATATAATATTATTGCAGGACATGTTTTTGGCTGGATCTGATACGTGGACCATTACCGTCGAATGGGCAATGTCTGAACTCATGAAGCATCCGAGAGTTATGGAGAAAGCGCAAAGAGAAGTGAGGAAAGTTTTTAATGGGAAAGGTGTGGTTGACGAGGCATCTATCGATCGACTACAATATCTGCAATTAGTTCTAAAAGAAACTTTGAGACTGCATCCTCCTGGTCCTTTGGCCATTCCAAGAGAAAGCAAGGAGACAATTGTGGTCAATGGATATAAAATACCGGCAAAGACAAGGGTCTTCGTCAATCTATGGGCCATCAACAGAGATCCGCACCATTGGGCCCAACCCGAAGTCTTTGAACCCGAGAGGTTCCTCAACAGCTCCGTTGATTTCAGGGGAACGGATTTCCATTACCTCCCATTCGGGGCTGGACGACGGATGTGTCCGGGAATGCATTATGGGCTCGCTTTGGCTTATCTTTCTCTTGCCAATTTGATCTATCATTTCGACTGGAAGCTTCCTCACCAAATGAAACCAGAAGATTTGGACATGAGGGAAAGATTTGGCATCGAAGTGAAGAGGCAAAATAATTTAATACGGGCTTGAGATCAGGTGACTAAGGGGGGTCCCCTTAGTCACATGGCTAAGTGAATCTCAGCCACTCAACCTCATTAAAATCTAAGGGTTCTTATTAGTCTAATTTAATGAAGGGTAATATAGTAATTTTGGTATTTACTTTTAATTTTTAATTAAAAAAAAGTGTGCGTCCCTCCCCAGCTTCCCCTCTCGGTCGCCTCCCCAGCTTCCCCTCTCGGTGCGCCGCCGCCGGAGAATTTCCGAAAAAAGAATTTCCGCCGTCGCCATTATTCCGTTCCCCTGGGCGCCATTTATTTCATTCCCCAAAGAGAGATGGGCGCCATTTATTCCATCCCCCATTCCAGAGAGAGAGAGAGAGAGAGAGAGAGATTTTTGGTCCGAAAATTTTCTGATCGGAAAATTTTTCCGGCGAACATCGTCGCCGGAGAAGAATTTCCCGGCGACAGTGTTAACTTTGTGATGTTTGTTGACATATTTTGTAATGTTTGTATGTTTTGTTATTTTGTAATGTTTGTCGGGTTTTTTTGTAATGTTTGTAAACTTTGTTATTTTTGTGCACCATGTTTGTAAACTTTGTCATTTTTGTGCACCATGTTCGTAATGTTTTTTATGTCTAAAAAACACCCGAGTTGACTTTGGGAAGGAGCCCCTCTATATAGGGATGGAGCCTCCAAAGTCAACCCGGGTGTTTTTTTCCGTTCGTATGGATTGTCGGTCTAGTTTGTCATTTTTGCCCACCATGTTCGTACTGTTTGTATGTCTAAAAAACACCCGGGTTGACTTTTGGAAGGAGCCCCTCTATATAGGGATGGAGCCTCCAAAGTCAACCCGGTTGTTTTTTCGTTTTGTATGGTTTGTATTGTTTGTCAGTCTAGTTTGTATTGTTTGTACAGTTCATACGTTTGTAATGTTTGTAAATCTGTTTGTATGTTTTGTCACTCTAGTTTGTACTGTTCGTATGTTTGTATGGTTTGTACTAATTGTAAATCCGGTTTGTATACTTCGTAATTTTCCATAATACCCAAACTACCCCTGCCATTAATTAAATAGCCCTTCCCACTTTTTAACCATTGGATTGAAGTGTCCAGATCTAATGGCTAGGAGGGGCTTAGTCAAGTGACTAAGCACCCCCCCTTAGTCACCAGATCCGCACTCATTTAATACTCATCCCCACACCATATCATCCCAGATAAACTAGCTAAACTCGGTCTACACTACTCAGGGAACACAGTATTTTATTTAATATAATTTGAAACTTGAAATGTTGCCCATATATATCCATCCCACCACATGAAATCAATCACATTTAATAAAACCTGGTTTAGTTTCAATGCTCTACATGCAATTTGTTGGTTCTTGTGGAAAGAAAGAACTTTCAGAATCTTTGAAGGAAGAGCTCAGACGAGTAAAGCAATTAGTCTCAACATCATTACTGCATCTGCATGGTTCAGTGGCTACAAGCCTACAAGCAACCTCCAAGATTGAGGGAACCCAAGCTGAAGGGTTGTTTACTTGCTTTGCTCATATGGTTTTGGCTGAGTATTTTTTTTTTCCCCATGTGTGTATGTTACAATAGTTTTGTGTTTGTCCTAGGTTCTACTGGTCGATATTTTGACCTGTTGTTGGGGCTGTCTCTTGCCCTTTTCTTTGTTTAGTTTTTCTCTTTGACTAAGGACAGCAACAGATACAGAATATAGTAGAATATTGGGTTATATTTTATTATAAAATTATATACCTTAAAAAAATATAATAACCACAATTTTTATGGGT